ATTTAATTTAATTTAATAGAAATAAAAATAATAATAATAATAAAATTGGATAAAATTATTTTTGAGATTTAATTGAAGTTGATTTTGGAAAAAATAGGTTAAAATTTAGATTATGGGGGTGTTTTTGAAAAGAAAATCGAAAATCGGGGGGTCAAAATACAATTTAAAAAAATAGTGCCACGTCAGCAGCCCCGGCCAACCAGGACACGCTGCGTGGCAGGGACGCTGACGCGAGAAGCCACACGAGACAGAGACACGTGTGCGATCCGCGTGCGCGCGATCGAACTGCCCAGATCCGTTCCCGTGTGCACGGATAGCCCAGATCAAAAGCGTGCATGGACGGTCCAGATCTCACGAGTGCGAACGGCCCGGATTTATTTATAATTTAATCGCGATCAGATAGCCCAGATTAAATCATGATGGACGGCTCAGATTAAAAGAGAAAAGTTATAAATAATCGCATCCACACCCAACCTCAAACCCTTGCTGCCAGAACCCTCGCCGAAGAAGACGACCCAGCCACCAGAGGAACTGGCCGCCATCCGCCGCCGCATCTAGTGTAGCTCATTCCTTACTTAACCAATTCAAATCAGGAGGACTTGGTTCCCGAACCCGTTTTGCAAGAAGAAGGTGAGTAGAAGCCTAAGGATTTATTAGTTTTCCTTATAGTATTCATTCATAGTATTTACTTTAGTTAGTTTATTCTTTTATACGTTTAATTCGTTTTAGTTATTGTATAAGGGATGTTAATCATAATCTATTTTATTTCGCTTCCGTACTTAAAGTAAATTTATACATCTTCTTTTAATTTTCGGGGCCGTTACAACAATGAAGTGTTATTTGTTAATTTCACTCTCCGAAATACAGCTCAATAAAATAACTTCTGCTACAATAAGTCAAACTCAACGAATATGAATACAAGCTTCATCAATTACAAACAGCCCAACAAGAACAGAGGCCCATGTCAAATATGCAATCTATAAAATCATACCACAGATCATTGTCGCCATTGTTATAAACGATCTGCACGCATGACATCCAATGCACAAGCTAACATGACTCAAACAAATCCTGGAGCACATGCCACTCTAGCATAGCCTTCTTGCAATCAGCAACATTGCCATCAACAATCTCATTGGTGGTCGATTCAAGTACCAATAAAATAACTTCTGCTACAATAAGTCAAACTCAACGAATATGAATACAAGCTTCATCAATTACAAACAGCCCAACAAGAACAGAGGCCCATGTCAAATATGCAATCTATAAAATCATACCACAGATCATTGTCGCCATTGTTATAAACGATCTGCACGCATGACATCCAATGCACAAGCTAACATGACTCAAACAAATCCTGGAGCACATGCCACTCTAGCATAGCCTTCTTGCAATCAGCAACATTGCCATCAACAATCTCATTGGTGGTCGATTCAAGTACCAATTATCATGTTACATCGGATCTTCAAGTGTTGAATTCATATAGATACATATGATGGCCATGATCCAGCCTATCATTCTTTCTTGGAATTGAAGCTCAATGTACAAAACATGGACTACTCCTTAACCAATGCAAATTAATATGAGATCTCCTAGAGTAAGCTAGAATGGCGAATGCCAAAATGTGCACTACTCCTATGTCTGTAACACCACCCCTCATAAAATAATATGGTCAACCACTCAAAGATGGTTCCATGTATCGGACGATTGTTGGGGCCTTGCAATATTTTACTCTAACAAGACCAGACATCTCATCTACTGTAAATAATTTATGTCAGTATATGCACGCACCATCTGACACCCATTGGACAATAGTAAAACGGGTCTTATGGTACCTAACGGGTACATCTTTTTAAGTTTTTTCTTTAATACAAAATCATCTTGTCAATTGTAATGCTTCACATATAGCAATTAGGGGGCTGTCATGATGATAGGCCCTCCACCAATGGCTTTACAATCTATTTGGGTACCAACTTAATATCCTGGCCATCAAAGAAACAATAAACAGTAGCCCGTTTTTCAACGGAAAGCGAGTATAAATCGCTTGCTAATGACACGGTTGAAGTGCTACGGTGCAAAATATGATGAATGAGCTTCACATCGCATAATCCTCCTCTCCAATCCTTTCATGTGATAATGTGGGAATGATTTATCTCACATTTAATCTAGTGTTTTATGAAAGAACCAAACATATTGAACTACATTTTTCCTTTGTTCGAGAACAAGTGGCTATAGGCAATCTTTCGATTCGATTTATCTCAACAAGTGATCAGGTCAGTGATATTTTTAACAAGCCCTTGCATACTAGTTAGTTTCAGTTCCTTCGATTGAAGCTTAGATTAGTCTCCTTACCAGCAACGACTTGTTGGAGAGGAAGGGGGTGTAGAAAGATAAGAGAGATAAAAAGATATGGTTATCCTCTTTCAAAATTATTTAAACTTGTATTTCTCATTAGTTAGCTCTATCACTTATCTCTTTCTACCTGTATATATATGTATATAATTATTCAAAACAAATCATCAGGATATTATTCAATTATCATCCTGTTACAGTCCTAACTCGATTTTAAAAGACGATATAAACTTATCCAGTAGTAACCTGTAGCTCAAACCGATGGTAGTGATTTGTACGACATCCTGTGGGCAAAATATAAGGGTCTTATTCGATTATCAAATCAGATACTCAAAGCATTTTAGAGGTGTTTGGATGTGGACCTCATACCAAACCCCCTTGTCTATTCAGAAGCCATATGTCCTTCCATATATGAACTTGCCAATTCTCCACTTCATGTTCTCCTAAAGTAGCTTTTTACTCTCCAAAATATTGTACCAGACATAGCTATTTCAATGGCCACTTAAGTCTTAGGTGTTACCTGTTCTGATTTTTAATAAAGTGAACAACTTCTACATTTAGCTAATTGTTCTGTGTTAACATTTGTCAATCTATCAAATTTCGTAGTTTTAAGTTAAATTTATGGTTAATTTTAATTGAACGTGTACTTATTTATATTGATTTGATGTATCTAAAGATCATTCTCAAAATACAATCACCAAAAATTTATTCACATCATAGAATACAAAGGGCTAGCGTATATACATTTTATTGTTATTTGAATGAATCATTTTAACTAATTTAAAGGGGGAGGGGGAGATAAAAGAATAAAAGGGTATCCTATGTAACGACTCGTAGAAATAGTTAGTTGTTAAAATGCTGAATAGAATCCGATATGCATCAAATTATCAAGAAAAAAGAAGATTCTAAAAAAATTAAAAAAAGAGTTGTGCCACAATTAAGAGAGCATGTGTAATGTCGGTTGATTAACAGCATACACGATTATTCAATAATGGCCAACATAAAAAGTGCTTAACATTTTTCATTTCTCTAATTGGAATGATGCAATTAAATAATGAGATTGAAGAAAATAGCGGTTTTTTTTTTAAAAAAAAAAAATTTATTAATTAAATTATACACATATATAAATTATAATATAATGTTCTGCTACCAGTGCTTAATTTTATATGTACACCCTCCATGATTAAAGTGGCAAATCCAGTAATAAACGTCAACTATTCTAAATATGAAATATAATTAACAGGGGTAGGTGTCATCTGCCTCAAATTAATACTAACTCAACTTTTTCTTTTTGTTTCTTCTACCTTTGCCAAACACAATAAAGTAAATGTGAATGAAATACCGTCGCCAGTATTGCAAAATATAATGATTAAGTTTATGATATATTACAATATTCTTACCTTATTTTGATTAAAATAAACACATATATATTATTTTACAAAATATTCTTGATATTTTATTATTTTTAAGTAATATATTCATTAATTAAATGAACACATGTAATAATGATAAAATAATATAAATAATTTTAAAAAGAAAATATTACTATTAGCCTAATTAGTTTGCTATTTTAATAATCAACATAATTACATGAATTAATTAATAACATTTTTTGTTAAAAATTAATTTTTTAGAGATCGTGAATAGAAGTTAAGTATGATTTATATTATCTGTTAGCATTAATTAAAAAAAAAAAAGATCACTTCTTCAAAAAAAAAAAGAAGAAATTTAAATTCCTACATATACAAGATTTACTTAATTATAAACTTATAAAAATTATTATTATTATTATTTGCCTAATTATGAATCACATAATGTAAACAGTAGCTAAACAAAGCATATACTTTTATTTGCAAAAGAAAACAACTCACACAAATGATGAATATATAATTTCACCTTAAGTTAACAAATAAAAGGTAGCTAAACATATATGTAACTTATTTGAAATAATGTATCAGTTTAACTGAAAATAATAATAATAATAATAATAATAAAAGAAAAAACAGCTTTGTATTCCCACTTCTTGCAGAAAGAATTGGCATTATGCGAGTGTTGATAATTATGACGGTATAAATTAATATTCACTGATTGAGTACCAAAAAAGCGCTTAATTTAATTAATTGTAAAACAGGGCTGCGTATCTTGACAAAATCAATACAGCTTAAATCTCAATAACCCAATTACTCAAATCTTACGCCAATCACAGCAATCCACGTCACAAATCCTATTAACATTATCTAATTAATTAATTGCCAAAATTCTAACTTAGGTTGATGAAGCGCCACGTGTCAGCGCACGCGTAGGTCTTAGAAAAGCACTTATGACTCTCGTCAGCTCCTATATAAATAGGCAGCTCCGACTTACCTTGGTCTTCACTTAGCTGCCATCTACTTCTTCTTCATCATCAATACCTCCAAAACTCTGTCTTTGCTTTCGTTTTCTTTTCCAGATTCACTGCAAATACAAACTTATATTTACATGTCACCAACCTTTCCAATTACCAGCTGTATACCTACGTACTATATATATATATATATATAGATAGATAGATATAGTAAAAGAGTTGAATTATTACTTAGACAGCTTATAGTCTTAATTGTACACACCTCAGTCTGAGGCATCAAATGGGTAACGATCAAGAGTCGCACATGAGTTGCAATAATCATGGTGTTGTAATTCCTCCATCGAAGCCATTTTTGCAGTCAGTGAAATGCAGTGTGAAGGAGATGTTTTTCCCTGATGACCCTTTTAGGCAATTCAAGAACCAATCTACGCCAAACAAAATCCTTCGTGGGTTGCAGTATTTTGTACCTATCCTCGAATGGGCTCCTCGTTACACCTTCGACTTCTTCAAAGCTGATCTTGTTGCTGGCATCACCATCGCCAGTCTCGCTGTTCCTCAGGGCATAAGCTACGCAAGCTTAGCCAGCTTACCACCCATCATTGGCCTCTGTCAGTACCATTTTTTAGTATTCAGTTTTTTTTTTGTTGGAAATTTAGTCAAGTTATGTATGGGAGATTTATAATATTGCAGATTCAAGCTTTGTACCGCCGTTGGTGTATGCTATGATGGGGAGCTCAAAAGATTTGGCGGTGGGGACTGTAGCTGTGGCATCACTTCTCATATCATCCATGTTAGGGAAAGAGGTTAATCCAAGGGAGAACCCTAAGCTTTATATTCAGTTAGCTTTCACTGCTACTTTCTTTGCCGGAGTCTTTGAAGCTACTCTTGGCTTCCTAAGGTCTGTCCATTGCCTCATCACTTTCATTTACAATTTAATTTGTTTTCTTCTCAACATATTCCATGTACATGTACATATGAAGCATATATAAACATATATAAATAGATAGTTAAATTGCTGACGTTATATAAGTGTAGATATACGTTAGTTTCACGTGGTTGTTGCTTAATTGCAGGCTTGGTTTCATGGTGGAGTTTTTGTCTCACGCAACGATAGTGGGTTTTATGGGTGGAGCAGCAACTGTTGTGTGTCTTCAGCAATTAAAAGGGATTCTTGGTTTGGTTCATTTCACCCATGGCACTGATATTATGTCGGTGATGCTCTCTGTTTTTGGGCAGATTCACCAGGTTGGTTTATACATATAATTCAATTATTATCAATTAATTTTGTAGGATCGTATAATTACACACACACACACATATATATATAATTAAATGGATGGGTGAGTGTGATTGCAGTGGAGATGGGAGAGTGGGGTGCTGGGTTGCTGTTTCCTCTTGTTCCTTCTCTTCACTAGATACTTAGTAAGTGTGAACCCATCTCATTCTTTTTCTCAATATTTGTAAACTAATATTTTTTTTTATTTGTTTTAAAGATAAATTTCATTTATGGATCAACTAAATAGGTAATTTATTTATTTAATTAATTTTAATTCATTTACTTATACATTTTATTAACTAAATATATTCGCAGATTAATAATAATACAACACTTTAACAATAACAAACAAAGCACAGTAGCTTTTTATGATAAATATTCACTGATTTATTTAATTTTCAGTCATAATGTTTGTGTTAGTGAGTGATACAAACCCAACTTGAAATAATTTTTGGTGAGCCCACCAATATATACACGCACAATTCTATCTAAAAATTTGATCAAATAATCTTCCCAATAATCTAAAATTAATTACAAGATATAGTTTCTTATCAAATACATATCATAAAATTTTATATAAAATTAATTTTTAATAAAAATGTATTCGTAATTATTGAAATATATTTCTATAACTTGGGTACCTTTTTAAATAATTAATTAAATTTATTACCACAAAAAGTTAAGCAGATATAATACTGTCTATTTAATTATTTAAACTCTAATGAAGTAATCTATATATTATGGAGGGTGGTTGCCAACTTAGCACTTTACAACCAGCGGTTTAATTAGCAGTCGGAGTAAGTTATTACGATATATTTATGTTTGTATCTATATATGTACATATATATATATACATATATAAATATATAGGTTATTGCTGAGAAGATTAAAAAGTACAAGATGGGAAAACAGATGTTCTTTGGGTGGCAAAAGATTTCCAATTGCGTATATATATACACATACTGTCAGTAACCTTTGTTTTCAAATTAATATTAATTACACGCATTAATCCACCTAATTTGCGTGGAGTGCAATTAATAATCAAGAAAATATTAATTTCGAACACCAACTCGTGTCATGGGAATTTCCAAAAGCAACAAAAAGAAAAGGAAGAATTATATGTTTAATAAAATAATTATAGATTTTTAACATTTTCGTTTCTTAATAAATTAAAGTATATATTCGTACGAACGTAGAAAAGTATACATATGATGGTTGTATGTCTGTATTAAACAGTATGGTATATCTTTCAGTGCAATAATTTAAAATATTTTAAAAACAATTCTAATTTACGAAAGAAGCATATTGAAAATATTGGGCATTGGTGTTTGGCGCAGAGCAAAAGAAAGAAGGCCTTTTTTTGGTTAAACGCAATGGCACCTCTTACTTCAGTGATCCTCGGAAGCATTCTTGTTTATTTTACCCATGCTGAGAAACACGGTGTTGAAGTTGTAAGTTTATATATATATATATTTATATAGTTTACCCAATCAATATAAATTGTAAAAGAAAAAAAAACTACATAATTTTGAAACTACGTGTAAAAGTTATTGTATATACATATAAATTATGATCATGCATGCGTGTTATTTCGGTGTAAGTAATTACTATTTATATATGCAGATTGGGTATTTGAAGAAAGGATTGAATCCGCTATCAGTTTCAGAGTTAGCTTTTGGGTCACCTCATCTGGCCACAGCTATTAAGACGGGAATCATCACTGGCGTCATTGCTCTTGCTGTAATTATTTTTCTCATCATCTCTTTATAATTAATACATCACTCTCCACTAAATAGATTATCAGCATATGAATTACATTCATGGTGGATAAAAAAGCTTTTTAATTAATACTTTTGGTTTATGATGCTAAAAACAAATTAATTATATTTGTACAGGAAGGAATTGCAGTTGGAAGAAGCTTTGCCATGTTCAAGAACTATCAAATTGATGGCAACAAAGAGATGATCGCATTTGGCATGATGAATATAGCTGCTTCTTGCACTTCTTGTTACCTCACAACAGGTATTCCTAACTCTATTAACTCGATAGAAATTATGAACATATATACTAATGAAATTAAATGATTTTGGCAGGTCCATTTTCGCGAACTGCAGTGAACTTCAATGCAGGATGCAAGAGTGCAGTGTCGAACATAGTGATGGCAACAGCAGTGATGATCACCTTGTTGTTTCTAACGCCATTGTTTCACTACACTCCTCTTGTTGTGCTCTCTTCTATTATAATTGCAGCCATGCTAGGCCTCATTGACTATCAAGCTGCTCTTCACCTCTGGAAAGTCGATAAGTGTGATTTTCTAGTCTGCATGACTGCTTACTTGGGTGTTGTATTTGCCAGCGTCGAGATTGGCCTCGTTGTTGCAGTAAGTCTCTAATATTAATATAAAACCCTTAATTTGGATTATGATGTTTAATCTGAAATTTATTTGATTGACTTCCAATTAATGCAGGTTGGGATTTCCTTGCTAAGAGTATTACTGTTTGTTGCAAGACCAAGAACCTTTGTTTTAGGCAAGATTCCCAACTCTGTAGCCTACAGGAGTATTGAGCAATACCCAGTTGCTGCCAAGACCCCCGGGCTTCTCATTCTTCATATAGATACACCCATTTACTTTGCCAATGCTTCCTACTTGAGAGAAAGGTAACTCAATTTCCCTTAAAAGCACTTCGTTCACATGCTTAAAGATATAAGTACATATATTTGATTACATACATAATTGGTTTCTGATCAGGATCTCAAGATGGATATATGAGGAGGAAGACAGTTTGAAATTATCAGGAGAAAGTAGCTTACACTATATCATAGTGGACATGAGTGGTTAGTGTTAAATCATAAAAAACATATCATGATCCACTAAACTATTTTATGCTCGTTAAATAAAAGTTTAATGGGTTTGAGTTTTGCAGCTATTGGTAGTATTGATACAAGTGGAATCAGCATGCTGGAAGAAGTACAGAGAAATATTAACAGAAAAGGTCTAAAGGTATTATAAAATTAAGTTTATTACTTCTGGCTTTATAAAAATCAGCTTATCAATTAATTAATATCCTGTACGCGCGTGTGTGTGTGTATATATATTCAGCTTGTATTAGTAAATCCAAGAAGTGAGGTGATTAAGAAGCTGGACAAGTCTAAATTCATCGAAAAAGTTGGCCAAGAATGGATCTTTCTCACCGTTGGAGAAGCTGTAACAGCATGCAATTTCATGCTACACACCTGCAAATCAGTTGATGAATTTCCCCCACAACAACATAATATTGTATAATTATCCATGTACCAGAGCCTGCTATGTATCCAATCTGAGTTTTAAGGAAAATGATAATCTGAAAACCTTTATAATATTATGTATGAAAGTTATATGCAACTAATTTTAATTCACTGAAAGACTGGTTTTGACAATTGGGATGAAAATTATACACTGCCGTCTATGTGTAAGCATTGGAAAAGTTTTAAAGAGACCAAAGAAATAAACTTAATAATAATTAAACACAATTCAAAGGTCATACTTTGACTGTAACGACCCCGGAAAATATAAAAATGAAATGAGTATTTAAATATATCGAATGCGGAAGCGAGATCAAAATTTCAGTTAACATCCCTTACACGAAAAACCAAACAGACGTACTTAAAATATAAAAGGTTAAACTAACTAAGAAAGAAAACTCGAAAATAAACTATGCGTATGACTACAGAGTCTCTAGGCATCCCCCTCGTCGTCCTCCTGCGGAACGGGCTCGGGAACCATGTCTTCCTGATCTGAAATGGTTAATTAAGGAGTGAGCTACACTAGCCCAGTAAGAACATCACGGTATCTCACCGTCACGGAGATAAAGGTGGGTAGAAAACCACAAAAAGACCAATGGAGCATAATTTACAATAAACTCGTTTATTAACAACAAAACCTTTTATCAATAATAAAACTTTTACCATCCACTTACCTTGGTGGAATTTATGAAAACAATATGAGAAAAACAATAACATTATCATAATCATTGAATAATCTAAGCTGTAAAACATAACACTTATCACGCATCTTGTAATTCAATCATTGTACAACATATCTTTTTTTCTCATTTACCAGCCTACTAGTATCCGTGGGGGTCCATAGGGGTTCCGCTACCCGTTAACCTTTAACATTCATAATCAGTTTCCAGGGCCGTCCCCATACCCCGTCCGGTATGGGCGCCAAAACCATAAACCTCAATACCCCGTCCGGTATGAGGGTGAAACGGGCCGTCCCCATACCCCGTCCGGTATGGGCGCCAAAACCATAAGATCTCCATACCCCGTCCGGCATGTGAGACCACAATCCCGGTAGGGTTCCCTACGGACCCGGTCCGTCCACCATCTCCCAGGATATCTAGTCAGGCTGACCCCCATAATACAATTATCAGTCTACACAATCTTTCATTTTTCCTTTTCCTCAATCAGCATCATCAATTCACATTTAAACAAGCAAATCGTAATTCATACCAAACAGACAACATACAGTATCAGTTTTTCAGTCATTCAACCCATAATTAATAAAAACGTAGTACATGCACACAAATCTGTAAAATGAACACATCAAACCTCATTTTGCATTTAAAGCTGTAAACATGCCAAATAACAGTAAATCATCAATCACACTAGACTCGAGCTCCATTAGCAACCTTAAGCAATTTCACACATGCGTTAATTCAAGAAATACTGTTTTATCATTTTGAACTTTAATACCGTGATAGGAAATAGGGTGAGGGGTCCTTACTTGTTTTCGGGATCCGAATACGATTCACAGTGCGCCTGCAGGCTGTCCCTAATTTTCCCTGAATTTTTCCCGGGGAACTGAAACACGCTAACAGTACCTGCACGTGTTCCAAAAAAAATCCAAATTAGGCCCAGGGCCTCTTTCGGCCCAAATCGCAACTCCGGCACGGCGGCTCCGCCGTGCTCCGACGACGGCGCCGCCGCTGGCAGCGGCGAGTCGCCTCGGGTTGACTGTTTTCGACCGTTTTTGGCCGAATTCGGCCACACTCGCATTGGTCCTTGTCAGAAAACAACCCTAGGGCCCTCGGGGGGCCAAAAAATCACGGAAAAGCGGAGCTTACCGGCGGCGGCGCCCTCGGGTACGGCGACTCTCCGGCGAAGTTCGTGTTTTGGTGATTTGGCTTCGGTCAACCTGTAGAGAAAAGAATGGTGATCACGGTGATATAAAAATTGCATCGAACGGAGGCCGGGAAGGGCCTCGTCGGAGGCAAAAACCGAGAGGGGGCGCGGCGGCGCCGCTGGGCTTCGGCCGCGTATTCCGGCCGTTTGGCCGGGATTTCGGCTTCGATTTGGCCATAGGAGGAATCAGTGGGGAAAAACGAGTCGGGGGTATGAAATTTACCTCGATCGGCGGTCGGAAATTTCCCCGGTGCGGCGGCGAGTGGCGGTGGGTGGCGGCGGTCGGCCTCTGGTTCGTCTTCTCCGGCGAGCGGCTGGCGCCTAGGGTTTGTGGTCTGGTGTGGGGGTTCTATTTATAACCCCTTGCCTTTTGATCACAGCCGTTCGTTTCGTTTTAATCTGGGCCGTTTGTTTTTGATT